TTTTTCTTCTTTATGAACGGGAAAACTTCGTATAGAACCTCCCGATATGTGTATTCGACTATACGTGTTTGCACCGGGGATGATTGTTTTCTTTTTCTTTCCAGCTCTTCGAGGAAATGAAAGGAGCATAAGCAGCGACGTTATAAGCTGCGCTTGTTATTATTCTTGCGTCAATTGCGTGCGCGCTTCTCATTTGCTTTTCGTGCTTTTTCCAGCTTTGGTTACGGAGCATCAATTCGCAGTATTGGATTCACTTCTGGTTCAAAACAATCAACATATTCTGGACTTTCTGTTTTTCCCTAGGTTCTTCTTTGAGGTATTTTTTTCTTTTTTTTTTAGGTTAGTCAGTGTTATTACTCGGTCGATAAGAGCTGTGGTGGTGCTGCTGCAGCGTCTTAATCTTTGGCTGCTAATCCAGTGGTGAAAGCAGTCGTTGAATTATCTTATAACCCGTCGTGGGAATAGTACAAGTAAGGGGGACGATTACCGTAGTCCCTAAGAGATACCGATAATCCAGTGGACGGGCTGCTTTTACCACTCTATACCTCGCGGAGGTTGGTTTTTATTTCAAAGTTATAGCAGGATCTTGTTTCTCGAGATTTTGATTTACGCAGCAAAATTTTTGCCACGGCGGTATTTTGCTGATTTAGTGTAGAATATTAAATATAAATCGTATTTCCAAAGCCTGTGGGATTACAGGTTTCTTTTTTTTTCGCTTTCGTTTAAATGATTTTGTCGGTGTATTCAAGTTATACAATGTTTAAGTTGATGCAATGCTGTATTCCCAGTAAATCTTACTAGTCACTTATTTTTCTTGTTATAAATTAATTACTGTGTTATTTATGTTTGTACTTTATGTATACGAGTTACCTGCGCACTCTTTAATTTCAATCTTCGGCTATCACTGTATCAATGATTGAATACTTACTGTACAGACATTAAAAAATGTCTTATTATTTTTTCTTTTATTACAATTTTCAGTATTAGTCGCGTGTGTGAGCCTATGAATAATACGTACATTTTTTGAACTTACACCATGTAAGAAGAATTAGTACATTTATGCGAATAAATAAATAATAAATAGAAAAAAAGGAAGAAAAAATTTTCAATGAATTTTTAAAAGTAAAACTACTGTTTTATGAATTTAATAAATAAATTATCAAATACATGGTGTACCAATAAAAGTTTGAATGTAAAATTTATAAGTTATCAATTTGTTTAAGGTAATAATTTCAACACTTTAATTTAAAATATTGGAGTCTCAATAGAAGAGACTATCTTTCATGTAGACTCATATGATTTAATAGTTATTCCAAGTCTTTATTTGCGTCCCGTTGTTATTATTATTATTATTATTATTATTATTATTATAACTACTTCTACTATTAATTTTACTAGATAAGTGAATGACTAAAATTTAATATGATTGATCGCGGATTTTCCAATATGACCAAGCATCGTTAACATTAAATGATTGCGTACCAGTACGCGAATATATACGCGAATTTTTGAAATAAAGTCAAAGTAGCTTATAGTTCATTAATTACGATGCAAACAAAAATGTAAAGTTTCCTTGTCGATTGCTCTTTGAAGAAAAAATACTACTTTTGACCAATTTTTCCAGTGTTACAAAATTAACACCTTCTTGATTCTTACGGCAGCCCTATTAGAGTATTGTTACAATATTTTCTATGAGACAAGGTAAAAAGTTGTTTATTGCATTACTTTTCACACAATCGATCACATAGGCAAACAAAACTTCAAACAAATAGTCTTCATCACGTGGCTGAATAATAAATTTCCAAAAAATGAAAATCTCCTTAAAAATTAATAAATATTATTTCCCAAAACAACACGTGAACCGCAACAACGTACGTATCGTTTGTTTCACACGCCAATCGCCGTACGTGGCTTAACGCGAAATAAAATAACTCACTGACTTGTAAATTCCGGGTAACCAAGTCCCAATAAATCACGAGAATGCAGTTGCAGCCGCAGCAGCAGTCGGAGCCTCTGTCATTTGAATTGCAAGCCCGAGAGTATGCGTCCATATATACATGTACACGGCGAAAGGACCGGACAATGGCCAGTCCAGCGGAAAATTGTTCCGATGGACGGGAGCAATCAAGTGATTAACCGTTACGGGCAAAAAGATAACGACGACTGCGACGAGAGAGGAAAAGAGAGCCCGCAGTCACCACCGAGCCTTTTTAGCATTCTCGGCTCCGCGGCTGACTTAATTGTATCATTTCGAGCGTGACTCAGGCGGCATTGTTTTTTTTTTTTTTTTTTTTCAGGGGTAGAGGGGGACGATGCGAATTTAGCGCATTGACAAATTGATGGAGATTTGTGGGAGTTTTTTTTTCGTTCGTATTTATAATACACGTTGCACCGTTGCATTAATTCATTGAGAGCGCGCTCACGAGCTGATCAGGGCTATAAATAAACCGCGCTCGTGGTGCATGGGAAATTTTTTTTTTTTCAAGTTTTTTAAACAGTGTCGAAGAAAGTTTAGAAGGAAAAGTAATGGTGGACACCTAAATATAGAAATAAAAGTGATTTATATTATAGGGACACATGCGATCTCGGTTTGATAGTTTCAAGCTGAAACAATACATACATTGAAAAATTCAACGTACGATGCAGTTGCGTGACCGGAGCTCTGAGAGTTACATTATGCTACCACGACACTATTTCAAGTATCATCGTCTCGACTCTCGACGGATTTTTTTTCCCAGTCTTTTTCAAGTGTGCGCGGAAGAGACTCTCCTTCTCCTACTTTCCAACCAGCTTTGCTCGGAGGAATAAAACAACGTAATATAATCCAATATTTATTGTTATCAAAAGCGTGACTTACAGCCGTGACATAGTTTATCGCTAACTGACATATACGTAGCCAATTGTATGAAAAAAACAAAAAACAAAACAAAAACTTTTCTTGACAAAGAATTCATTGTCTTGCAGAGATATAATTGTAAATAACAAAAGAATCTCGGTAAATTCAAAAATTTTAAAATATACTTATTCCATGGACTATCTAGGGCTCCTCCGGCACTTTTGTACTTGAAAAAAAAAATGAAAAAATAAAAAAACAGATTTACGCTGCAGCTTTTAAGAATTTGAGCAAATCAGTCTGAATTAAAGAAAAAAATTAGTTATCTCTACGAAACAATTTTTTAATTTTTTAAATCCGATGGTTATTTCCAATAACGAGTTTCTCCCGCGAGCTCTCCTCGGTGTCACTATTGTATTCCACGGTTGATGACCACTTATTATTTTATCGACCCCTCGGTGAAAAATTCGACAATGCCAAGCATACGCTTAAATATTACGATCTCGGCGAAAAAAGAGCTCATTTCCATGTCTTCGTTGCACGGTTTTACGATTTCGCTCATAATACATCGGACTGGGGGCGATCGTTGTGAAATGAACAAAGAGCCAACTGGGCGATCGTTAAATTTACTGCCCCTCTCGTGAAGATGCCAAGACGGTGCGCTCTTGGACAGCCGTGACTGTATACAGTATGTATACACGATGCACAAAAAAAGAAGAAAAGGAGAGAAAATTTATTGCCTCGTGGCGCGGTAGTATCGCTGGGTAAGGGTCAAAGTTCGTAAATTTGGTTAATTGATTGAGCGCGAAATGTGTAAGGGGAGAATAAAATATGTCCGACCAAATTTTATGCATTAAATTAATGAGAACTATGGTAAAATTATTGGTTTGGATGAAAAAAAACAACTTTTCAACCTGTTCACGTGACTTGTTTAGCGGGGGGCTTGAAAAATCAATTGAACCGAATTGTAATAACATTTAAAATTAAGTAAATTTATACTGTGTCAATAACATACGGAGTGATGCTGTTAATATTTCATCCATGCATTTAAAACATGCATGTAAAGTGAAAAAATATTAATTAGGAACAAAGTTTTTAATAATGGAAATTATCATCTGCAGCAAACGTAGCTCGTTATGGCTCGTTTCACTCATATTCCACCCATAAAATGAACGTTTGGAAAATGTAAAAAAATGTAAGTATGGAAATAACTCAGAGTTTGCACAATAATTTTTCCAACTTTTGGCGAGTACAAATCATCAAAAGGCAACTAGACCGCTAAAAAATTTCAGTTCTAGTTAAACTTCTGCAGTGCTCGTACACGCAGCGTCACTTTTTCTCCATTACAGCTTGCTTACAGATTAGTCGATGGCTCTATGATGGCAAACCAGCAACGACAATGACAAACCGACGACCCGATGAAAAGAGCCAGGCCTGCACGTCGCGCTGATAAACATTGATCTCTCATCGCTCGCTTGTGTAGGTACACTCCCCTTTTTTTTTTTTCGGCTGAAAGAAAAGACACAAAAAAAAGTGATGCACGAAGCGTGTGTCAAGACGAATTTTATTTTAGGTAACGAGTTAGGAGGTTGGTTACTTTGTTTGCAGTTCTGACAGCTCGTTTAAAAAGGTCTTTTTTAGTACAGCCAGCCACAGGCATCGTGATGTGAGGAGTACACCAAGAGACATGTGTTAATAATTTAAAGGTGAATTTAAAACTTGCTAAAGCGAGAGATCTCCTAATGGATCAATAAGTGACTTTTTTAGATGACCATCTCATAACTCAGAAATTATATGTACTAATGAACAAAGTGGTATTTACATGTCTTGGTTTTAACTACGAACAACGTTTTGCTTTTATATAAAAATGGTATCAAAGCAAATGAATCCAAAGTACAATAACTACAGCTCTTAAGTGATTATTTCTTCCAAAATGAACCATAAAATTTAATTTTGTATTAAAAAAACTAATGTTAACTAATAATAACTCAATAAATATGGTATATTCTCAAACGTAAAACCAAAATACATTTCATCAATTTACGTAGTAAGTCTTAGATTGTCCTTTAATTGAAGGAAATACATCAGTATTAACAAGAAAATAATTTTTTTTTTTCGTAAAAAATTGTTTTATCGTAAAGTTATCTTCAGTGGTTTCATTAAACATAATTGACGCTGTAGTCCACGATAGTATATACTAAAATTTACATCCATATCTATGCTTATGGAATAATTCAAACAATTCCGAACAAAATCTCATATAACCTGCACTATCCTCTCACGCGAGATGTAATTCCGAGAACTAAATTCATGCATTTCCACTTTTCATTTTTATCATCCAAATATTCATACATCCAAAAATTTTGCATCTCTTGAATTCCATCAGCCAATCAATGCGGAACATAACTTGAATAAACAATTTAGATATTCATCTCAACCCACACATTTTTATCTTGTTCAAATGAATTATAGCAGTTCTAGTCATGACCGCAGCTAGTGTTTCAGTTCCCTACGATGGAACTAATATATTTGGTCCTGTCTTGATTGTTCGATATAAAACAAAAGACCAAGATTTTGTGAAACCTCATTACGAACAATATCATTTCAATTGTCCTTAGTCGCAAAAAAACAGGCAATTCCGGACCACAAACTTTTTCCATCCAATACAGTGCACATTGTTGATAATATCCTTCCTAAGTACAGTTAGTCCCTTCCGTCCATCCACATGTGCAACGACAAATCGCTGTTTCCAAGTTTCCGCGTTTCCACGCACGTACAAACCTCAAATGTGTTTCTTCAACGACTCCCGGATGCAACTTTCATCCGCAAACTTTTGCTACTTTCCCTTTACGTCTCCCAAGGAGGAGCATCTCCTAGAAAAATAAAACATCATGTTTAAGATGTTGTTTCCGATTCCACATCCAAAAACCATTAAAACTGTAAAAGGTATTCACACTACCTCGTTCGGACATCTCAGTTTGTACAGAAATAAGACCAAGAGCGTCAACAGCTTCTCGGTTGCAAAACAGTTTTCCACATAACACCCCGTGACGTTGTCCAATTCACTGCACTCTTTGGGGTTCTGAAAGAAGTAAACCAAAGGATTAGACGAACGAGCTATTATGCAATGGAGAATAACAAAATGATTGAGAACAGCGGGGGTGTGTGTTATATTGCAAGTTATTTTGGTATACCAACGACGCGATCGCCCGAGAACCGAGGAAAACACCCTGCAAACCGGGACGCAAGAACCAGCAGCCCCTTTCATCTCCAATTATTCCCAATCCTCCATCCACACCCTTTCGCGAAGGATGTTTTGTCCACCGCGTGACTCCAGTCACGTATGCTCTGGTCCATTTCCCTCTCCTCCGTCCCTCTTTTGTCCGTCGATAGAAGTGTGATGGTCCATTTGCATCTTGCACGAGGTGTTATTCAATCGTGGACTTTTTGATGGTTGATCTTCTAACCAGTTTTTTCGAGACTCGACGGCACGATGGAACCCTTGTGGAACGAAATAATTTCACGTTTGGTAAAGGCGTATTGACTTTTACAGCGGAAACAATAGAACAGAAAAGCATCCAAAAATCAACAAAGAACCACTTACCAAAAAGAGATTCTGGAAGAGACATAACAGAAACACTGAGGACTAATTTACAGGAAAAAACTAGCAACAGTAACAAAAAAAAATCACGAGCCAACGTGTAAGCCAAGCAACGCACGTAAACAGCCAACGGCCTACTGATACTCGTTCGGAGGCTCGTCCACGCGAGAGGTCCATCGGGAAAAGGGGGGCAGGGGCCAGTGCCCGTCACGAGGAAGCTGCGCAATCACTTCACCGACACATGCATTGAGGCACAATAGGGCCGCGCAAAAAGTAAATAGGGAGGGAGGGAAGTGTCGAATGGAGGCCACGCACGGGAGAGAAAAACGAACGGGGGGAGGTATGAGCATGTGTGTATAGGGAGGATATCCCGCATTACGAGAGCGCCGATTACGATTTCGTCACAATGGATATCAGAGAGGTGGGATGGACAATCGCAGACTGTCTCGCTCTACGTTTGCAAAGGGAGAGGAGGAGATGGAGGCTAGGATCGATTGTTATTCGCTAGGCGAAGTTGGTGCAGTTTGTCAACAGCTTCGCTTCGGGCATACCAGAGCTCATCTTCTTCTTGGGGTGATCGGATTAGACCGAGGATTCAGGTGAGTGGTGCTTCGATTCGATCGCGTATCGACAATTCATCTTTGCAAATCGTTGTGTACAGTACCGGAAAAATCGAGGATTCATGAGGAAAGGCATCACCTGACGTGCTCATGTTATAGACTTACACTGGAACTTCACTGCCCATGTGATCTAGTTGACCACGATTTTTGCGTCTTCTCTTCTTAATAGTCTCAGCCTTTTTTTCTTCCCAATCGATACATCGACAAGCAACACACAAGGAACGATGAAATTAATGTACTGTCTACTCTTCATCGCCGTCTCGGTGTGCATTGTTGAGGTATTTCGACGATATAAATCCAACTTGCACGCTTTTACTACACTTTTGTCTTTAATGATCAATCGTTTGTGTCTTGTGATTCAAAGAATTACCTATCTACTGTTAATTTTCTAATTTTCGCACTTTAGTTCTAACGGCTAAAAAAACGAGAATACCTAACGACGTGCCTTAACTCATGCAATTCCAGATCCAGTCGGAACGACCGGCCATCTGCTACGAGGGCTCGATCAAATACTGCAAGGACATGCAAAGCGCCAAGGCTTGCGGCGTACGTAATATCTCCTCCCCCCCTCCTCCTCCTCCTATCTTCCCTCTCGAGCATTTAATATTGTAAACGAAACGACCGTACGTGTCCCTGTGGTACCTGCCTCTGTTTGTAATTTAAATGCGCCCCTCGCTTCGCCTCCCTCGCCATATATATATATTCCATTTGCAGGGACCATCTCATATTTGCTTGATTTACCATTTGCAATTCTATATATCATTCAGTCTGCCGATCGTAATATTATTACATTCGCTGAGGTGTATGTGCTTTTTGTCATTGAAAACAAATACCAAACGTTGTAGATCTCAGGTTGTTGCGGATAACATCATTACTGAATGTCACGGCAGTTAATTAAGATGAGAAACACATACCTATAGTCGTGTTATCGATGACAAAGATCTTTTTGACGAATGCGATTGTAAAAGTAATTTACAAAGTGTCGTATTCGTCAGTTATCGAGTGCTATTTCTTTGGAAAAAAAACATTAAAACACTTTTTTTTATGTTTATAGTGTTTCAAATTTAACAAACGATGTAAAAATCACGTTATTATACTTGAAAAATTTCACTGCAGTAAAAACAAGTATGTTTCTTTTTTACCTACAAATTTAGTGTTGAAATCTCATTTATAAAATCAATGTTTCTAGCGCTAATTACTCATCAGGACACTTTTCCACACAAAAACAGGAAACAAGAGAAAAATCATCCATAGTTTTTACATGCATCCAACCATTTCGGTGACAAACATGAAAAGAACTAGAGTAATTTTTACCGTTAACCCAACTGTTAAAATACTGTAATTTTGACTGCGAAATTGCGGTAAAATTTACTCTTGAAAAAAAAAAAGTAAAAAAACACAAAATCTGCCTCGATATCTTACCATTGTCATAGATTCACTGGAAGAATTACGGCACCATTTAAATCCTACTTTCGAAAAAAAGAACCTCCCCATTTCATTTCTAGCTCACCACCATTACGCACGCATATTGTACCCATAACTACCTCTCAGCTTGCATACGATATTTTTCCGGCTCGTCATCATCACGACTATTACGTTGGCGATCGCACAAGGGTCCAAACGCGGTCAGATGCGCATTTGTGCAATAAGCGGTATCAAACGATCTTCCGCGACCTATCCCCTGCAACCATAGCCATGCAAAGCCGGAGGGGGTTACGCAGCCCGCGCTCGTGTGTACTGATATAAGCTCCGTAATTGAATGGATTAAAGCCAAGTGCGTTACAGGCGCACACGTATCATACATTACATCGCATCTCGCGTGAAACTTGGGGTACACAATAAATCGGGAACGCAATGAATGGTGACCCGCTTCGGAGCGATGATTTTCTTTTGTTTTTGGTTCTCAGTGTACACCTCGATTGTTTGTTTATTTCAGAAATTGCGTTTCTGCCAGCTCGTCTGGAACCCGCCGGCCGGCTACAAGGTCCTCAAGTCCGGCAACCACTACGAGGTTCTCAACCCCAACATCGGCTTTTTCCACGTCGGCTAAGGGAGCCCTCTGATATACGAATATATATATATATACTTCGAGATGCCCATCACTGTGTATATCCCTGTACTGCTCTCACTACTGTATTGTGACATTATATATTTATATCGTGTGAACGTATTAAACAACACATTTTTATAACAATCATACACGTGGCTTCGTCTTGTGTGTGTGTGTGTGTTACATACGACCTTTTCATTCCCACACATGGAAATGGATAATTGGTGGAAGATCTCAATTCCGCAATTTCTGGGAGGGAGAACTAATACCGAGCATTAAAGATATTTGCACAGTTACAATCCTGGTGCATTGATTCGATGCAACGTTTATGGATGGTAATTGAAACCACCGATGCGGCCTATAATTGCTTCGGCCCTTCGTTCGTTCGTGTGTACGCATTAACCACAGAAGGGGGTTGTATTGCTCATTTGCGGTGAAAGACCACTTCGTTTGATGTGCCGAATCTTTAAGGGATGCGCAGATGGGATGGGATTTTCGCTTATCGTTGTTGCCTCGCGTCGATTATCACCGTCGGGATATCTTTGAGCTTTTCAATTGTGGGAGTAGGTCAGTTCTATCGTGTCGATGCATGCGTAAGCATGACCATCTGCATACTTAATGTGGATGTCGTTCAGATTGATTGAATTTGATAGTAGTCGTGGAGTTGCGATTTTTCGTGGTTAAATGATGATTGTTTGGGTAAGGAATGATTCATGAACACGAATAGAACGGGTCTGTATGAAGAAGCTGTATGAATAATACATGTTGATGCTAATTGATATATCTGCCAGTAATTATTGATGGTAATTAATTTGCTGTTCTGAATGATTAAAAACACATTGTTACGTACAATCAAGTATCAAAGATGGCGAAGATCATACGAAGTCGAGGTGGTCGATCCTTTTCTGCAGGGAGTAGCCTTTTCTTTCCTCCCTCCACTGTCTTTTACTCACACGTTCTCTTACGTAAAAGAGACATTGGTGGAAAAGTTACGTTAACAACATCAGAGAAATCAATAACGCGCCGGAAATTAACTTTCTGTTTTTTTCTTTTTTAGGTTATGAATCGGGACATAACCTCAATGAATATTTCATCTCATCTTGACGGGTAAATTATTCACGAGGTGTTTTTTGCAGTACGTTTCTTTTTTTGTTCTTTTCAACGTGTAAAAATCTTCCGTTTTGCTCAAAATTGAATCAAACGAGTATTGCAGAATTTTTTTAACGATCCGTGACTCGATAATTCAAGCCGCGAACACGTATAAACCTTCTGACGATTATTCTTGAAATCTTGACGGTTATACCCGTACGGTAAACCAAGAGATTTCAATCATTTGCATTCAACAAGAGGACGGTGGAGCATACGTATCTCGGAAATTGAAGATTTGAGCTTTTCAAGTGGCACAAGAACCCTCAAACGACTCGTCATCTTTATTTAGCGTCCATTTCAGGGAATACATGAATTTCGAGGATGGATTCGACGAGCTTCCTCCGCGTCGAGCCAATACCAGAGCTTTTGCACGTACATCCATACACCCGTTACTATTAATCGAAGAGATACACTTCCAAATATCGAAAACGCGAGCAAAAGTTTGAAAAAAAATCACGCACCAATTAAGCGAAACGTAAAACAAGATGGGAGGGGGGGATTTAAGCGTGCTTGAAGCTCTTTAAAGTGGGTTACGCGCGTGCACGTGTGTGTGTGAAAGCGCGCTGACGTCACGTTTATGCGGCAACCCAGTTTGTGCCAGCAGTCAGCCGGGGCTTCCATCCTATAAGTACTTTTCTCTCGCTCGTTCTTGGCACACAATGCGGTAAAAGTACAACGCCCTCCCGATGTATATATACCTACGCTGTAGCCCTCGGCAGCGGTAGCTGCTAGATAGCTTACATCTCTTCTGTCGACGGACTGTGCGAAACGCGAATGGGTGATGGGGAGGGGGGCACACGATGACGATGTGGGTTCTCTATTGGTGCTGACGCAGTTGTGGTCTGCACCTCGTAAATGGGAAATTGTTGGTCCTTCCTCTTTTGTTTTTTGTCAGCGACGTGTACTATGCGTCCAATCCGATAGTATTGGACTTTGCATTTTATTGAGAACGCCCTTCTGTCGCTTGTCCTGTCGACGAGGGTTTCTAGTGCTTGGATCATTTTTTTTTTTTCTTCTTTAATTATTAATTCAATGAAAAATGTCCTTATACCCTAACATCCTCCCATTTTAAAAAGGAAAATACTTTATTCGTTTTGTAGTTGGTTTAAACTGAGATCACGTGGTTATGATTTAAGTCATATTCGATCAAAAGTGAAAAGTAAAAGCAAAGTAACGCAGTAGTTTTTTTAGCACGATAAAAATAAACGAAGAGGAAGAAATTTAATGATCAAACCGTCTGTGCTATTTGTGGGTTAAAAAACTTAACTTATCCTAATATATATCATTAAAAAATATCATCGATGAGTGCGTAAAGCGCATCTGATATGTCTAATAAGTACATAAAAAAAATTCCACGCTCTTTTTTACATAAAATATTCAAAGGTGATGAGCACTGCCACGAATCCGGGATTTCGGAGCCAAAGAGGGCACGTACGTAATTTCGCGCGTACCTCAAATAAAGTGTCCATTACACTTGGCCCTCAATCATAC